TTACGGCACACACGGTGCACGGCGTTTATGCAAGCGGTAGTGATTCGAAATCTAAAATTGAGTCTATGGCCACGAAGAATGTCGCTCAGGTTCAGCCAGGGCACGGCGGATTGCAATCTGCACTTTAGAACAAATTTTTAAAGATGGGCAGCGCATGGCCCACCCAAACTCGCCAACTGCCAGAGGTCCGCCTGCAATTACTGCTCGCTTAGCGCTGAGTGGAAGTGGCAGAAAGGCAGTCCTATGTATCAAAGTGAGCGTCTTGTTGATGCGCTCGAGCTCCTTTGCACACAGAGATCGCAGCTGTGCGCCACGAAGCACGTGGCCAAGTAAGCACAGTTGGTCGGTGACGTTCGGCGCCGCAGCACCTTGAGAGACCAACTGTCTACGACCAGTAATGGTCGCGTGATAATATTGGCTTTTATCAACATTTTCGCGTAACTGCAAGCGATTTGACCATTGGGCCCACAAGTTTTCGACGGCAATTGCTTCTATGGCTGATGTGGCAGCCCATGCACGGTCATCCACGAAAACACGTTGAACAACCTGTGGGTGGGCCCTGGCAATGTTCCAAATTGGGGGCATTAAAAGTGCGCTCATTGCTAATAAGGAGAACGGGCCCCCTTGAGGCAAGGCATTGGTAACCTGCTCAGGTTCAGGTAGGCAGCACCCTTCGTACGATAGAATGCGCCGCTGGTTGGACCACTGAGTGTGCAAAATGCGACACAGGGCCGGTGGCATGTGAAGCTGTTCGAAAAGCCACGTAGCGAGCCGTGGGCTGGCGAAATCGAACGCAAGAGAGAAATCCAGTGATACAATATGCTGTTTGTGCGCCGCGGCAGTGATTAGTGGAACCAGGGCGTGATATATCTATCTCCTTACCCTTCTTGCCCCCCACCGCAGCGGGGTGCCACCATGAGTCAATCCACTGCTGGGCGCAGGTGGATTTGAGGCGAACCGACGACCAGAGGCGGTACCACCCTGAGTAGAGAGTGAGTCACGGGCGCCATCATGTGCACCACACCCTTCTGGCTTTTGGGCAGGTGTGCTTGTATGGCCAGACCCCATTGCTGAGGAATAAAGCCGTGCTGCTCGCACGCCTGGCAGAATTCGGCAAACAGGCCGAAGTGACCTGCTGGTATAGTAGCGATCTCACTACCTGACCATCCGTCTGCGCCTGCAGCTTTGGCTTTGAGCTTAGCTGCGCGCTTGGCAAGGGCATCGGCAGTCAATGGCTGCCATTCTTGCCCACGTGGGGGTAGCCGTTGTTGACGGACTTCAGCGTTTATGGCCGCGTAGGACGGCAAACAGGTCACTTAGGGATCGCTCAAACGGTTCACTTAGGGATCACGGTCACTTAGGGATACACGCTCACTTGAGGATCACATTCACGGATCACTTAGGGATCACATTCATTGATGACGGAGGTGGGGAGGGCGGGGGGTTGGTATGATAAGCACACCCGCTCAACGCTCAACTGCTGCAGACCAGCCTGCTCCTTTACCGGATTACAAAGTATCTGGGCAGGGGGTGTGGGGGGGGGATGATAAGCACACCCGCTCAACAGCTGCAGACCAACCTGCTCCTTTACCGGATTACAAAGCAACATGGCTCTGGGAGGGGGTGGGGGGGGTTGGTATGATAAGCACACCCGCTCAACTGCTGCAGACCAGCCTGCTCCTTTACCGGATTACGAAGTAACATAGCTTTGGGGAGGGGGTGGGGGGGGGGTTGGTATGATAAGCGCACCCGCTCCGGTAAAGGAGCAGGCTGGTCTGCAGCTGTTGAGCGAGGGTAAAGGAGCAGGCTGGTCTGCAGCAGTTGAGCGGGTGCGCTTATCATACCAACCCCCCCCCACCCCTTCCCCAGAGCCATGTTACTTCGTAATCCGGTAAAGGAGCAGGCTGGTCTGCAGCAGTTGAGCGGGTGTGCTTATCAACCCCCCCCCCCCCACCCCCTCCCCAGAGCAATTTTACTTTGTAATCCGGTAAAGGAGCAGGCTAGTCTGCAGCTGTTGAGCGGGTGTGCTTATCATCCCCCTCCCCCCCACCCCCTCCCCAGAGCCGTGTTACTTTGTAATCCGGTAAAGGAGCAGGCTGGTCTGCAGCAGTTTACAAAGTAACATGGGGAAGGGGGTGGGGGGGGGATGATAAGCAAACCCGCTCAACAGCTGCAACATGGCTCTGGGGAGGGGGTGGGGGGGGGTTAATCCCAGGCTGTTTTTGACACACAGACACTGCACAACACCTCGATATGGCTTTATAGAGATACTCGTATTTTTTCAAAGACCGCTTTTTAGCGCACACTGATATAATATACCTCCTTCTGGAAACGATGTACAACATTGTTTGGTTGCCCTCATGGTATGATAAGCACACCCGCTCAACTGCTGCAGACCAGCCTGCTCCTTTACCGGATTACAAAGTAACATGGCTCTGGGGGGGGGGGGATGATAAGCACACCCGCTCAACAGCTGCAGACCAGCCTGCTCCTTTACCGGATTACAAAGTAACATGGCTCTGGCGAGGGGGTGGGGGGGGGGGTTAGCACACCCTCAACTGCTGCAGACCAGCCTGCTCCTTTACCGGATTACGAAGTAACATGGCTCTGGGGAGGGGGTGGGGGGGGGGGTTGGTATGATAAGCGCACCCGCTCAACTGCTGCAGACCAGCCTGCTCCTTTACCGGATTACACAGTAACATGGCTCTGGGGAGGGGGTGGGGGGGTTGGTATGATAAGCACACCCGCTCAACTGCTGCAGACCAGCCTGCTCCTTTACCGGATTACAAAGTAACATGGCTCTGGGGAGGGGGTGGGGTGGGGCGGGGGGGGGGGGGCATGACAAGCACACCCGCTCAACTGCTGCAGACCAGCCTGCTCTTGTATCGGAGTACAAAATAACATCGTTCTGGGGGGGGGGGGGCTTGGGTGGGGGGCATGATAGGCACACCCGCTCAACTGCTGCAGACCAGCCTGCTCTTTTACCGGATTACAAAATAAAATGGTTCTGGGGCGGGGGGCTGGGTGGGGGGATGATAAGCATATCTGCTCAACTCTTCTACCGGATTACAAAATAACATGGCTTTGGGGGGGGGGGTGGTTGGGGGGGGGATGATACCGCATCACATGTGGTCTTGTTTGGTTTCATTGGGGGTCGTGCTTAACAGGATCACAACCATCTAACCAAAACAGGACCCACATACGACCTCTGAAAAATTCAAGGGTCCGCCACTGACATGTCAACACGCATGCACACAACCACATACATGGACTCGCCAGCATACATAGTAACATATGTCATGAAACATACACGTCACATATGTCATGCGATATACACGCCAACAAGCACAAACAAGCGCATTCCTGCTCGCGCATGCGCGTATATAAACATACATCGCCAGGCAAACATATCAACACGCATGCATGCGCGATAAGCCTTCTGCAAAAAGCGATCCCGGAGCGATCCATTTGCGCGATCCCTAAGCGAACCATTCGCGCGACGCCTAAGCGACCCACTGCCCGCGTAGGCCGGAGCGGGGTCAGCCTCGGGACGGCGCCAAACCAGACGCCAGTGGTCACGAATCAGTTCCAAGGCTTCGGTAGTAGTGCGTGTGGCTTCATCTATTTGCAGCGCAGAGGAGATGAGGCCGCGGCTAGGCATGAAACTGGCATGCTTGATCCATTTGTAACAAGCGCTGACGGATGTCTGCATGCGATGTTTCCAGTCCTGGATGCGGCTGTCGCGTTGGTTCAGCCTTGCTTGGGCAAGCTCTTTTTCAGCATATTTGATCTGGTCCGCCCAGTCAAGGTGAGATCGGTAGTGGTGGGATTGTCGTAACTTGCAAATCAAGTGTCGGTATTCCGCACAATCAGTGCGTCGTGCTTTGCGGAGTTTTTGGACTTCCCGCGCTTTGGCAATCAAGTTGCGCAGTTTGCGGATGCGGTATGAGTCATTCGCACGATCAAGTTGTCCGCTTTGGGGCAAGTGATTTTTGATTTTGACTTGGCCTTTACGGGGCAGGGCGTTGCGTTGCCGCGCCGCTTGGCCGTTTTGGCTGCAGTGGAGTGCGTACTCAAGCATCTGTTCGTAATAGTGACTGATATCGGCCCACAGCAAGTCAACTACACTTTGGTCAACCTGGGCAGGCACGGCAGGAGGTGCCTGCACGCAGGCGAAGTCATCGAGTGGGGACGGCATCAGGTTTTTGCAGTTTTAAGGTTTTCAGCAGGCGGTAGGGGCGGTCTGGTCCGCCTTGGCAACACTGCAAGGTAATGCAAGCGCTAATTATTTTATGGTCGGCTATAGCCTCCTCAAGAAGCTCAACTTGCTTAATAAGAGGGGCACCGCTAGTTATGAAATAGTCTATACATCGAGTACCCTCCCACCGTGTGGAGGTTGGCAAGCCCTCCGCGTTGGTGGCGGTAATATGGAAATAGGCCACCTGTCTGCTTCAGGTTCGTTTGAGATGCGCCTACTAGCAACAGTCCAATTCGAACACCACAACTTTGGTTAGTGACTGGCGACATGTGCCATATGCCTTGCTAATGCTCTCATAGTTCGATGGACTGCACCCAGCCTGTATCCATCGAAGAACAAAAACGCCTGGCAGCCTAGGTTCCTCCCCTCATGTTCACCAAATGCCCACCCCAAATCAATCCACCAGAGGTATCTTCGCCCTAATCTAAAGATACCATCTGCTCACTTGCAATGGTCTACAGTCCATTACAACCAGCTTGGCCAAGCATGGCCAAGCCGCAAGGCAAAGGAATGCCCCCAAGTTTGTTTTTTTGGATTGCAGAGGTAACCGTGGCTTCTCTTGCAGGTCTGACGTTATATCTTTGTCCAGGATGCTTTTGTTCACAAGCACAGCGCCACAAACAGCGTGAACGTAGGAGCTCCGTTCAAAGGAGGAAATCTTTCAGCGGTTGTTTGGTTTCTTTGTGAACGCCAACTCGAAAGGTAATCCCTAGTCATGCTTCAAGACCGCTTCTGCCTTTTTCAGCTCGGGTCACTGCGCTCCACAGCTGGTTCTGATCTGCTGCAGGTTCTGCGGTGGCATTGCTGACAGCCGTTCTTTGAGCTGCTCGCGCCTCATGTTTAGAGCGCAGGCGTGCAACTGCGGACAGTTTCTCATGGTTGGTGGTGCTTCATGGAAGGTGATGAGCCAATCACAAGACTACAATGCCTACAACAACAGTTCCCCCAAACCTACAAACCGGCAAGTAGCAATGGTGCTAGGCCACCAGGCCATTACCAGTAAACAGGCGATTGAAGAATATCAGAAGCTCATCTTTAGTCCTCCACGGCTTTGGGCATTCCAAGACTTTTGATTTTTCAACTTGGCAAACCCGTGGCAAAGCCGGAAGGAAAGGGCGCCAACCAGCGGGGGGGAGGGTGACTGCAGCCAAAGGCGCAGGCGTTCCGCAGACTGCTCGCTGAGGCTCTCCGCAGAGAGATCCCGGCCACGCCAGAAAGATCTGGGGTCATCATGGGCAGCAGTCAGCACCTCGCAGTGGCCAGGAGAAGCAAGGACCTGCACCATTTGCTTTACAAGCAATCTGTAGAGAATCTGAAACAAGGTCTGGATCTACATGATCTGCGTCAAGTTTGTTTTACCACTGCATCTTTGCGCTCGCCGTGGAATAGGCAGAAGGATGCCCTTTTCAGTTCTGCTCACGCGGGCCAACGAACAAGACCAGCTTTTGCTAGGAAACTGATCTACCTCCCATGGCCACTAGGCAAACAACTCAGATGGTGCGCGGTCAACAAACCAATATGTTGTACATTCGCCAATGTGATTCAGTGCGCGTATGTCCAACATGTCAAAAGTGCAAAGTGCGGACTCGTTTTCCCGGCCGTGCGCAATTCCAAAGTTTCTATCTTTATGTTTTCCATGAGAGGGTGAATTCTGGACTGGCACAGCTACCCCCCCCTTTCGAAGCCAGACATGTTTCTAGGATTGTTTTTGTTGGTACTATGGAATTCAAACAGTTCAAAGCCAAACTGAAAAGTACAAAACTCATTACTAAATCTAGGGTGAGGGATCAAAGAAAACTTTTTTAGGCATCAAAAAACAACGTATTTCTAAAGATCAAAAAAACTTATTAGGGATCAAAAAAACTTATTCTCATTGATTTACTATTAAAAATGAAAAATCAGAGGATCAAAAAACCACTTTATAGGCATCAACAAAAAACTTATTCATTTCGTGGCACGCGAAGCACTTTCGCAAGGTCAGGTGCAGATTTCGTGGCACGCGCGGCACTTTTGCAAGGTAGGCACAATGCTTTCGCAGGTCAGGTACAGATTTCGCAGCAGGCGCAGCGCTTTCGCAAGGTGCGGTACAGATTTCGCGGCAGGCGCAGCACTTTCGCAAGGTCAGGTACAGATTTCGCGGCAGGCGCAATACTTTCGGAAGGTCAGACAGATTTCGCAGCAGGCGCAACACTTTTGCAAGGTCAGGCAGGCGCAGCACTTTCGCAAGAGGTGCCAATTTCGCGGCAGGCGCGGCACTTTCGCAAGGTACGGTGCAGAGCTTGACGCAGGCGCAGCATTAAATCAGCGGGGGGGGTTGGGGGGGCGCATCCCCCCCCATGATGTTCGAGAAAGTGATGATTAAACAAGGGGTGCGTTAAGCTCTGCAAGCATTTTACAAATCAGCAGGGGGGTGGGGGGGGCGGCAGCCCCCCCCCATGATGTTCGAAGAAGTGATGATTCAACAAAGGGTGGTGATGATTGAAGAAGTGATGATTCAGCAAAGGGTGCGGTAATGTCTGTAAGCATTCTGCCATGATGCTTGAAGAAGTGATGATTCAACCCAGGGTGGTGATGATCGAAGAAGTGATGATTCAGCAAAGGGTGCGTTAATCACTGTCAACCTTCTACAAATCAGCGGGGTGAGGAAGCTCAGGTACAGATTTCGCAGCAGGCGCAGCACTTTAGCAAGGTCAGGTACAGATTTCAAGGCAGGCGCAATACTTTCGGAAGGTCAGGTACAGATTCGCGGCAGGTGCAGCTTTCGCAAGGTGCGATCCAGATTTTGCGGCAGGGTCAGCACTTTCGCAAGAGGTACCAAGGCGCAGCATTAAGTCAGCAGGGGGGTTGGGGGAGGCGGCAGCCCCCGCCATGATGTTCGAGGAAGTGATGATTCAACGAGGGGCGCGCTAAGATCTGTAAGCATTCTACAAATCAGCAGGGGGGTGGGGGGGGGCGCAGCCCCCACCCTTTGTTGAATCATCGCTTCTTCGAGCATCATGGGGGGGGCTGCCGCCCCCCCCAACCCCCCCGCTGATTTTCAGAATGTTTACAGAGAGTACCGCACCCTTTGCTGAATCATCACTTGTTCGATCATCACCACCCTTTGTTGAATCATCACTTCTTCGAACATCATGGGGGTGATGCTCGAAGAAGTGATGATTCAGCAAAGGGTGCGTTAATCACTGTCAACCTTCTACAAATCAGCGGGGTGAGGAAGCTCAGGTACAGATTTCGCAGCAGGCGCAGCACTTTAGCAAGGTCAGGTACAGATTTCAAGGCAGGCGCAATACTTTCGGAAGGTCAGGTACAGATTCGCGGCAGGTGCAGCTTTCGCAAGGTGCGATCCAGATTTTGCGGCAGGGTCAGCACTTTCGCAAGAGGTACCAAGGCACAGCATTAAATCAGCAGGGGGGTTGGGGGAGGCGGCAGCCCCCGCCATGATGTTCGAGGAAGTGATGATTCAACAAGGGGCGCGCTAAGATCTACAAATCAGCAGGGGTTGGGGGGGGGGCGGCAGCCCCCCCATCATGTTCGAAGAAGTGATGATTCAACAAAGGGTGATGATGCTCGAAGAAGTGATGATTCAGCAACGGGTGCGTTAATCACTGTCAACCTTCTACAAATCAGCGGGGTGAGGAAGGTCAGGTACAGATTTTCCCAGCAGGCGCAGCACTTTAGCAAGGTCAGGTGCAGATTCGCGGCAGGTGCAGCTTTCGCAAGGTGCGATAGAAAGTGAAGATTCAACAAGGGGTGCGCTAAGCTCTGTAAGCATTCTACAAATCAGCAGGGGGGTTGGGGGGGGTGGCAGCCCCCCCCATGATGTTTGAAGAAGTGATGATTCAACAAAGGGTGGTGATGATCGAAGAAGTGATGATTCAGCAAAGGGTGCGTTAATCACTGTCAACCTTCTACAAATCAGCGGGGTGGTTGGGGGGGGGTTCCTTCCTTCCTTCCTTCCTTCCTTCCTTCCTTCCTTCCTTCCTTCCTTCCTTCCTTCCTTCCTTCCTTCCTTCCTTCCTTCCTTCCTTCCTTCCCCCGATAGGAATGAGCATAAGTTTTTGTTTGATGCCTAATAAGTTTTTTGTTGATGCCTATCCCCAAAATTTAGTACTGCTAATACTGAACCTACACCTGTACGATTTGAATATGTGCTTCAATCAAGTTTGCAAACTGTTGACAAGTGGGTGCCAAACAATCAAAAACATAATTAATTTTCCCACAATCATGACTCATGACACATACCTCACAACATCATTCTACGTGGTCCAAACCGACGGGTGACTTTCAGGGGTCCTGAAAGAACACGTCCCAAAAATCCGACTGCTCTCTCACTCTATCTCTCTCTCTCTCGCTAAATCAGCTGGTAGAAGTAGATTTTGGGCTGGTCATGTGAGTCATAATCAAAACCCGGCATTAAAACTGGTCTACCCAGAACCATGCTTCAAGAACTAAGATGGCGGAATTCCGCAGCGATTTATGGCAAGTGGAGTATCCCTTAACCTCCATCAATCCCCGGGTTTTGAGCACGCGGCTCATGTATCCTTTGAGGGACTTACGGCTGGCACCTGGGGCTGGAGGTCGAAGGGCTCCCGCAAAAGCTGCTGCAAGGCCTGGAGGAAGCCGCGCACCACAGCGCCTGAAGTCCGAACGGGTGCCCCAAAATGAGGTCCCAGGTGACCCCAAGAATGGATGGTTCCTGGTGGGATCCCTTCAAACCCAACCAAAAGGAGTTCCTCCCCCTGCGACAAAGAAAAAAGTGCCTTGTGTTTCGGGGAGTAGTGGCTATGGACCCTTGGTGTCCTTTTGGCAAACGCACCGGTACAGGCTTCGAGCAAGACTGAAACCAGCTCCATCTATTTTCAAGCAAACCAACCCAAGAGCCAGGACGCCTATGCCATTGCTTTCAAAGCCAGACCCCAAGATGGCTTTACTGGCTGCCGTCAAAAGCTCTGATCTTCTGGACGCTGGATCTTCAACATGCTGGCGAGTTGGGAGCGACCACGGCAAGCGCTACGGTAGATGGACAAAATTATTCCACCGATTAATAATTGTTGATTATTAGGTGGTTTATCCCGGTATTTATAGGTCTGCACCCATCCCAACTGGTGCAGGATTTTGTCCATCAACAGTATCTTACGACCCAGGCCGCGGAATGGTGGATATCAAGCAGCAAACCAACTGGAAGCCACCCAAATAGTACAAAAGTGTGCTCACACTGGGGACATCTTTCAGAAGCGGTCAGCTGCCTCATGGCATCAGACAGACACGGGGTAGCTGCATAGCCCCAGGCCGTTTCGAAGCTGAAAACAATGCCACCCAAAACGCAACGACAACACGGCCGTAGACTCCATGCAAAAGAATTGAGAAAGCGACCAAATGAGGTGACTGCTCAGAACAAATTTGCGCGGTAACCTACGACTACGCTGGAAACGATCATTAGGTCCCGGCCCGGCACCAAGTTTAGCCAGTTTGCACATGCCACAGGACAGAAAGGATAGCACCAAGGGGCGCGCACTCTTCTTCCACTCGCCATCTGTGCACCCTTGTGAACGCAAACCCTCACAAACCATGGCACTCCTAAGCAGCTCAACTGCGAGCATCGTGGGGCGAAACAGTGGCAACGCACGTGGAATGAACAGAGCAGCTCCTGGTGAGGACGACGGCTCCGCACCGCCTTGAGGTTTTTGGAGCTATGGAATTCTATTGTTAATCCAGAAGGCTCCCCATGTCGTGCTTCTGGTTTGGGAATTGGTAAAGGGTCTGTGGGGGATCCCCCCCTCGGAAGCCGAATGCTGAGTGACCCCAAGTTGATGCGCTCTGAAGCCTCTGTAACCTGACGCGGCTCAGTGAAGCAACCAACTTGTGGATAAACCTTCGTAGCCCATGCCACCCAAGCAACAATCAGTGTTTCCTTGACGCCTGCGGCCATCTTTCCGGCCGCGTATGTTGTCGTTGCGGTTGTTGCTGCTCAGCAAGCCATATCCACGCCTGGCTTCTCCATCTCCACCATCCGTGCCGCTTCCTGCAACACGTGGCTCCGCGGGGCCAGCACCGGCACCCGTGCTCGCACCAACTCGCGCCAGTGCTCACCCTGGCGAGGTGTGGGGTCTTACCGCGGACTCTCGGAACTTCGAACACAAGGCTCCCTGGGTCCCTCAGCTACCAGTGCAAAGCAAAAACGGGAATTCCTGCTTCAAATGCTGGCAGCACCAAGGTTTCCTGTATGTGCTTACACCTATCACAATGTCATCTTTGAACATTTCAGTCTTTTCGATTGTCTTTGGCCATGGAGCTGCGGGCTGCCTGATCGCATGCCCGTCAAGAGCAGGACATGACGCAGCCACAAATGTTCAACATGACAAAGCCGTAAAATGATGTAGCTAATGGCACCTGCGAGCCTATGCGTGCAGAGTTGGGCCGCCTGAAGCTTGGACAAATCTGCAAGGATCTCTTTCAGCTCCGCATTCTTGGCAGGGTCGGCGCCTCGGGCAAGTTGCGGCGGTCGGGAGCCTGGTTTGCCTCGGGGGTCTGACTCGCTTTTCAGGGCTATGAAAGAAACGTCGGAGTTCGTTGTCCTTGTGTCCTCTGCTCATGTCGTTGAACCAAATGTCGAGCAAGCTCGCCGGTGGGAGAATCAGAAGCAAACAGCCAGGACTCTCTAGTGCTGACACCTGCCGCGCTTTAACGTGCTTCATTGTACCAAGTCATGACTCGACACGTCCACCCCAACCCTACACTTTCCTAGTCACTTGGTCATGCTGGGCGCCCGGCAGCTTGGTGCCTTACACAGGATTACCCCCCTGCAAATCAACATGGAGGGGCGTGTGGCAAAGTTTAGGGTTTCAGGATTGGCGTAGACAAGTAGATAAGCTGGATTTAAAATTCAGATTCGCGTTCGGTTGATAATTGCTGGAGTTTCAGCATGAGAAATTAAAGTGGATATTGGCGCTGCGTGTCGGCTTAGGCATTGCAAAAATGAAGGTTCCAGTCCAGGGCAAGCTACACACATGTCCGTGAAGCGCCACCCTGGCCTGCTACCGAAAAGTTGAAAACTGGGGCACACCACCCACCCACGTTTTGGTTTCCCTTTGGACAACTAAATCAAACATGGCCTACATTACTGCAACAACTGCAGTCCATTTAGCAGCCAGCCTGGGGCCCATGTCACCCCAGCAGCCCAACTCGAGTCCCCCTGCCAGCGTGGGCCGCCAGCGCGTCCGCGTCCGAAGCCTCGGCCAGGCCCCTGCTGGCGCGCACGTAGTCGGCGCCTGGCAGATCAGCCAGGCGCAAATGGTGAATGATTCGAAGCATTCTCCCTTTTATTTGCTTCAGGCCGCCCGGGAAAATACTTTCCGTAGTGATAGCTTCCCTTTGAAACCAAAAAAGGAAAATAACAAATATTCCTAGCAAATGTAAGCTCCCATGAGGCAACTTAATTTGGTGTTGTAGTGCCCAACCCTATTCCATATTGTAATTCGTGCGCCGTCTATGCTTGTGTTTCCAGGAATTCGGCACGTCCTCCTTGGCTCCGAAAGCCCTACGTCGATCGCCAGGGTTTCCGTGAGCCGGGCTTTCAACAAGGCACCGCTGGAGGCACGGCTGGTAGGTGAACTTTCTTCAGCCAATATGGGCATGAGTGTGTCAACAACAGGAACCTCTGCGAATAGTTGAGTTGCTTCAAGGGTGAGCTCAAGTGTTTAGGTCTGTCCGGCCCTATCTGACAAACGGCTCTATGGTGGTGTGCTATTGGTTGTGGGGATGATAACGGACAACGCTTCTGCTTGGGAATCATCAGGTCGCGAGCCAAACGCATGAAAGTCTCATGAAGAACTGGCCTGCTGCAAGCTTTGAAGAAGGAGTGGGGCCCCTCAAAAGCACATATCAGGATCCGCCGGCAAACCGCACTGCACACTTCGATCTATACCAGGGCACACGGGAATGATTTGGCCTTAAAATCACCGGCGATTCGGGGCTGCTTTACGTGTGGCTTTATTCAGGGAATCCAGGAAGTGCAAGGGATCCAGGTGGATCCCCTAAAGCACCCGAGCCCGCACTCGCGGCTGGAAAGCTGAGCTAGAATCAGAAGCAGACCTCAAAAACAAAAACAAGAACACTAAATCTGATGCAGTCTAGTGTGACTTTCGCGCCAAAAAACATATTTGCTAATTGAATCTCCCACCCCCCCCCCCCAACACACTTAGCACAACTCCAGCGACAAAGTCGCTTTCCGTCTTTTACAAGACAAGTAGTGCCAAAAACTGTAATAGGAATTGGATGGAAGCTACATTATGGTGAGAACATTTCACCCCCAGGTAACCTCGAAACCAACAAAATAGGCAAATAGGACACCCTACATCCTGCATTGGTGGGTAACTTCTCCCAACTAGATCTTTTCGTCCATCCCAAACTTGTGCGAAGTGGATTTCGCCCACCCATGGCATGCCATCGGCGGGCCCCGACCGCCTGAGGCCTCGAGCCAACGGAGCCAGCGCCGCACCGTGCAGCCGCTGCTGCCGGAGGTGACGCAGGGCGCTCCTGGCGTGCGCGCTCTCGGGGGTCGAAGTGCGCTGCGCCACCAGCCAACATGAAACCCGACCACCTTGATCCATTCCAAAGAGAGTCAAGAAACCATGATTGTTGATAATAGTGCACCGTCAAACGTTCGCAAGCCGTGTTGTGCGTGCTGCGTTATCAAGCCCAAAAAACACACAAGTCCCGGAGCAAAAAACAGCCGCAACTTGTGATGCACCACTGGGCCCTTGACTGCTGCCGAATTTGCCGAAGTTCAAGCGCCTATCAAATCATACAGATACGCGAAAGCTGAAGGAGCACTTTGCTCAAAGAGGAAGTCCCTTGAATTGATGCTCAGTCGCGTATTTCAGGCCTGCGTCACAGCTTGGTCATGCCAGTCTAACATTATATAGTTTATGCGTTCTACTGCAATTCTGACCATGGCCTGTTGGCAAATGCGCACTCTGTTCACTGATGCATATGATTCCCCCATTCCCCGATTCCCCTGCGCGGCTGTGTTGACCAAGCCCCCCGCCTCCCGCAGACACCCGTAGAAAAAGAATCTTTTGGGGTCGATCCCTTGTGTAGGTGGGGAAGCGCCACCGAACATGATTACAACGCTTTGGGTATGTGTCAAAAATTGGGATTCGGATTCCCCCAGAATTTACTACCCTCAAACAAACCCCTCCCCCCAAAAAAAAACCATCGTTTGGACGGGGCCCGGGATTCAGGATCCACCTGGGCCAGCTGAAAGGCCTTTGTGGGCCGCGCCTGAAGGCGCTAAGCCGAGGCGGAGCTCCATGCGCGCCACGTAGCACTTCTGGAAGAGGCCCTGGAAGCGCGTCAGCTCCAGCTGGGCCTTCGCTTCAAAGGGGAGCTGAAGCCGAAACGGGTAGGCTGTGCCTGGGTGATCCCCCCACCTTAAGCGCCTTAAGGGGGAGGGAGGTGGGGGGTCCCACAACTCCGTAGTTTGCCTGGCTTATTCGAACCATGCGCTTCCTCAGCATGACTGTCATGACTTTGATTTGGGAACCGATCAGACAGAAATCCACCTAAGCCAGCTGCCGCTCCGCGTGCGTTGGTGGAAACAAGCTGAGGCAGCCGCGGACTTTTTGTCAAGCCATTCCTCTCCTGCCAGCAGGGGGCGAGTGTCATAGCGTCACCGCTACCAAGATGAGAATGTACGCCAGCCACTTCAAAGGGCGGCCACACGGACAAACCGGAAGTTCATCACCGTTGAACCAACCCCAGCAGGGCCTGTCCCCCACACCGCCCAACTTGCGCTTGGCTGCGGGAGGTGTTGGGGCTCCAGAAAGTGAGTAGCATTGGACATGTTTCTTAGACGGCTGATGAAGCATGTCGGGAAGCCAGCATCTCTCAGACTTGAATGGGGTTCTGGGTTGCGGTGTAACTGCAGTTCGGTGACATCAAAATTGGAGCCGTTGCTGGCCAGCCATTGGAAACCCTGGGCTTGGTACTTCCGCAGCACCCCTGGGGCTGATGGCGGTCCGGAGAAAAAGTGCCGTGTGGGGGCTTCTCAAAGGCGTGCCCTAACATGGTTGGTTTTCTTTTCATGTCCCCAAAATACCAAGGGCTTTCCCATTGTAAATTGGACCCACAAATGGTCTTCCTTTGGGTCTTCCTTTGAACCAAAAGGGAGCTCCCCCCCAACACAAAGACACACACACACACACCCATTCTTTGCAACAACGACTCTTTTTAGAAACCAGCTTGTTTCCCTGTCATCCGTGCTGGATTTTTGATGGAAGTAGCAGGTCTATATGCAATTTCGTGTCATAACTGACTGGTAGAGTGGCCTTCAAGCAAACTCGGAAAACCAGGCAGTGAAATCTCCCTCGGGCCCTCCCCAAGTTCGAGCGAGCACTTGAAGCCCCAAAAGAGGCTCCCAATTATCAACAGTCGTACTTCTTAACGTCTCCATCAAATACCCTTCCCTGGTGAGCGCGCATCGCGCCTTGGTCTCGCACAGTTGGGTAGGCATAAAGATTACCTGGTAGGAAACAGGGCAATACACAATTCGCTCATGGTTCCGCTTTGCGGGGGTACCTCCATGTCGATCGCGCATTCGCTCATAGGTCCAGGGCTTCGCCAAACCAAAGCCCGCGCTTCCAGCCTTGGTGCCACTCCCCGGCATCCGGCTCCCGATCCATCACGAAGGCAGTGCCTGTGAGCGCATCGCTGAGCCTGGCGAACGCACACACAAGGAACAGGGAACCCCACTTTACTCAAAAACCTAACAATTGAGGGGACTTAACATCTAGAGCGGCAAACAAAATCCAAACACGAAGGTCAGCTGCCCATCATTTACTCTGCGCCGTCTGACTTGGACTCGTGCCACAGCAGTGTGTTGCTGTTTCAAGCTGGGCTAAACCACTTCAATCCATAGCAACGCTACTCATGCCGCGAGCTGTATTCACTGCACACAAAAGACAACCATGCGCTCCTGGCATCTCTAGAGTGCACAACGGATGCATGAATCGCACATACACATGCAAGCACGCCCCTTTCCTTTGACACCAGGCTCAGGCTCTCTCGACAAGACAAGCCATAAACGATCATAACTTCAAAGGCTGAATGTATATGTCCATATATGAACCCCTGGTATAAACCCCTAGTTTATGATTATGGCTTAATTATGGGAAATCAGCCCCCAAAGGGTTCCAAAATGGCCGCTGGCCTCTCCAGATTCCACTTGGCAATCTCCGGCTGCGCGCCGAAGGCATACCTATCAGGCAACTGGCCAAAATCGAACAGCCGGGTAGGAACAAGGAGGGCTCTGCCACTACTGTGTGCTCCACCCAAGCTCGACAAAAACTTGAGCAAAAAACATGTTGGGTTCTCCTTCACAATCACAGGCAAACTGAGATCAATCATCCTGATTCCGACGCACTGACAGGAGAGGAGCTTGTTCACGAAACAGAAAAACATGTACCTGCAAGAAACCTTCATCGTGAACTGGGTTTACCCTCAGGAGAGCTCGTTGCGCCTTGCCTGAATGTGGGGTGTCTTTTTGGGGGGGGCCCTTTTGGGAAAGCTTCAAGGGGAGTTTGAAGTTTAGAGGAAAACACCCATTTTGTGGGGCCCTCTACAAGGACAAACCCAAATATCATGGTCGCTGCGGGATCAAATCCGGCCAAGCGCTGGAGTCGCCTGGCGGTGTCGTCGATGTGATTTGGTGCCCAGGCAGGGTCATACTTTGACAGGAAGCCATAGACGTTGAGGTCCACCGTCAGACCTTCGGTGGGGTACCCTGAAAATGGATGGATTGTGAGACCGTGAGACCAAACTTGAGTGCCCCATGCATTCCGACAAATGGGTAGGGTGCTGACATGGGTAGCAAGTCTTTTGGCGTTGCCCCGTCCAATCTCTGCAAACCCATGCGTTGCCTATGAATAAAGCTATGGTTGTATCTGAGGGGAACCTGCCCCCTTGCCCTTTGCAGTGTCTCAGGGAGCACCAGTATTCGCACCACCTGACACTTCTCATGCACAGCCAGCAGTCCCATTTCTGTAAACTGACACCTCCACCCCCTGCATGCATGTCCAAGGCACACGGCACAAGGGGAGGAGAAATCAAGCATAGCAGTGTTCCAACAAAAAACGATCTCCTAGTACTACAGTCACTGATGCTTGGCTCCAAGCTGCATGGCTACAGCAGCTGGAAAACACAGAGGGCCACAGCACCCCTTTCCTGCGGCATGTGGCCTGGATTCTTAGTTTCCAGCAGATGTGACTTCCCGACAAACCATCCTGAAGCAAACCGCTGCCCTGAACAAGGCACAGCTGTGACTTCTGACCAGCAGCCCAACAGACTGAGGTTGTCCGTGTTCATGACGCCGTGGGCAAAGCCGACCTGAGCAAAGGGGGCGGTCCGCCAAAAGCGACAGCAAGAAAACAACATGCACACAGTAAGGCGTTGCTTTGCTGCCGCCTGATCACTTTGACAATGGACCATGCTTGGCTGCCCATCGAAGTTGCGCTCAACAGCTAGCTGTTTCAAGCTTTACTTAAAAGTAACATGCCTGACCGCTGACCGGCATGATCCGACTCTAACGCGTTGGATATGCCCACCCGACTCCTGACCATGTGTTTGTTGGTGTGGTGAAAAGGCATAACTTGAATGCCGGCTCAACAGTTCACGCGATGTCGGCCACGCGATGTCGGCCATGTGTCGCTCGGCATTGCACCCGTCTTCAGATATGCATGTCAAACAATAACCCTAAGTACAGCATGAACATCCAAACGTTGGTACGCGTCGAGTCAAACCTAACGAAGGGCTCCAACCCGACAGTGTCTATTGCTTCCCTTTCAACGCATCCCCACTTGTCTGACGCACATGCGGTACCCCAGGGAAAATGACGACCCCAGATTCATACAATTTCTAGAGTAGTAGGGGGCGTTCCCCCCCGAAGTGAAGGATTCCCTCCAATCTGGGGCGGAATCCTGCACCTGGGGCTGCCCTTAGCGCACTTTCCAAGCCATTACCCATTGCCTAGATGCTGCCATCCACGCTGCCACAAGCGCGGCGGTGCGCTGCACAGTTCGCTCCAGCAGGCACCGCAGCACCGCGTCATCTGAGCGACCGGAATGGACGTGGCAAGATTTGAGAGTCCCCCCCTGCTTTTGTTGTTGAGATTCGGTAAGCCCCCATGCCCTGCACCCCAAACTGACCATGGGCTGCATATATTGACCGACCCTCACCTTGGCGATGGGCAATGGGTGACAGCATGAGACCCCGGCATGAACTTGAACTGGATCAGTCCTATTGCTACATGTTACCCTGTTTCATGTTCGATGCTTGCTGAGCGTTGGTTCAGTCATGGCCAGCATGTCCACACGGACCACAGACAGCGGCACCATGCATCGTTGCAGTCGCGCCCAGGAAGGCCTCGACTGCGAACTTGCCGGCGGCAAGTTCGCACCCAAAGCCCCGCTCACAACAGCCCAACCAACACACGCAAGAATGGCAGCGAAAGCAGCCGCCAGCTGCTTGGTTGTAGCTGCTCTTGCCCTGGCTGCTGTCTCCGCCTGCTTCTGGGTGAACCCAGGTCACAACAACCCAGATTCAAAAATCTCAGCAAATCCTCAGCTGCTCTTGCACCTGGCTGCCATCTCTGCCATACTCTGGGCCATGCCACCGGACAACAACCGCGCCAAGCCATGCAAAGCAACCACCTTGTCAGTGGCAGCTTTGCCAAGCTGGGCACCCGCCAGCCTCATTCAGCCTGGCCGTGAAACCAAGCTGCTGGCCTTGCGCAGTATGCTACGCTGTAGCTCTCAGCTCGCTGATTGGCCTTGTCGCTGAGAGTAAGATGGAGCAACCATCTCCGCCGGGCAGGTTCCCGGCGCAGGAAGGTTCTTCTGGGTGTACATGTAGGTTTTGGGACCTCTTTTTCAATTGCTTTCTCTGGGGGCATTTGGCCAAGGCTTCATCAAATCGTAGGACAGACCCATGCGCAAGTGGACCTGCAGAGAGGCGGATCGTGGCTGTTGCGGTGGGTCATACTCAAAACTCAGCAAAAGGAGCTGGTTTGCTCCAAAACCCGAGGAATCAAGAAAAGTTATCATTGTTTCAAATGTCAAAGTATCAAAATCCGCAAGGACATTTCTTGAACCAGTGTTTACCCCTTGTGTTTCAGCCTCATCTTTTAGGAAAGGCTTGGAGCAAACCTGAGCAACCTCCCTAGTTTCCCTAGTCAGCTCGTTTTACCCCCCGAATCGGTGAGCTTGCCAGGCCATTTCAAAGGATACACCTGCAAAACACGATTTCCCACTCTCAGGTCACTACTTCCTTCCGTACCGCCATCAGACTTTGCGCCCTAGGCTGAAGGAAGCTGCTCAAATGTCGCAACCTCTTTCCATGATTAGAGTTAGGCCCAGTTATAGAAGTTATAGAGTGTATATTTATGTATATTTTATTTTATTGTTTGCTTCACTTTGAGTCCATGGTAAAATGTAAAAACAAATGCATCCTAAGTCTACCCCGGGTTTCCAGTCGTTCAGCCTATGGTTCCCTGGCCACGCCTGAGAGCGCGTCTGCCTCATGAGCGCAGCTCCGCTGGCTCCCAAAGAAGCAGCTCTCACGGAGAGGCGGGGGCAAAGACCTCGGGGAAAGCTGGCCAAACACCTACCAACCAAGAGCATTCCACATTCAACAACTGGTTGAACCACTTATATTAAGTATTCTTCGTTTCTGTCCGATCAAGTTTGATGGCATTCCCCGCATAAACAACTGGTTGATTTTGTTTTGTTCCCACTTGTGAGCGGCACGTTGGTCATTTGGAAGGGTGGCCCTGGTTCCTCAACACCCTGAATCAAAGAAACTGGCATCCCAAATGGGGCCCCTTGAGGTGAGATGTTCCGCAAGTTTCCTCTACGCATCGTGAAGCCTCGTTCTGAGACTCGTGTGCCATGAAGGTCTTAAGCCACACCCTGCGCTAGCAGTTGGGATCGCTTGAGGGTGACGCCTAGCCCCAAGAACGGGGAGGCCCCGAGCTTAGCAGGCAAAAGGCTAGTGACTCTGGAAGCTGACCTGACTCACTTGCGACGGCAAACGTAGGGGCGATAGGAGGGTTTGTCGTTGCTGGTTATGAGGTGGGGCCTCTGGAGCGTTCCTGGTTCCGGAACGGCTACTTCCAGCCCTCTGCAGTCACGTGATGGCGCCTACAAGTGCTGCTGGCTTGGCTCAGGGCCACAAAGATCCAGGAACCCCCCAGAAGCAGCCCGCAAGTCCCTGCCTCCTGCGTCACGCAACCCTCCCAATAGCACACTACAACATCCCAATGTGCGTGTCACACCCCTCCTCCGAAAGTTGCAAACTGCCACGCTGCTGTCCACAATGACGGATTTGGATTCGCCCCCCTTTGCCTAAGCAAAGACCATGGATATCCGGTCCCGGCCATTGTCGAGAGAAAAGGCATCACAAGCGATACCCGACCCTACACAAAGCCAATTAAGCCAACAACCAAGCATGCCTTCAGCTTTGCGTGGGTCAGCCGTCCAGCCAAAGCATGCACCCCATCATTGGGAAAATACGCTCAGACAAAGGGCCAAGCAAGTACAAAACATCGAGAAAGTCCCATGTTGGGGCATAGGCTACTCTAAGCTAATGTTTTGAGCTTCCGAAGGTGAAGAAGAATGGTTAATTGGTCCCAAAGCTGGTTGTCCGTGCAGGTTCTCAAGTTCTTGGCTGAGATGGGGCTCAGTAAACCCTCCACCCTCCATGGCCACCGCGGCACTCCGATCCAGGGGGCGCCGCAACGCCTGCACGCTCAGTGCGCGCCAGCACGCCCAGGGCAAACCGAGCCAAGCGCACCAGGCCTTGCGGGCCCTGGCCTAAAGCGTGGTGGCTTGAACGGAGGCAGGGAGGACCGCGCGGAAACTAGGTCCTCCAGCAGAGAGGTTAGAATAAGGGTTCCCTTTTTTCTGTAATTAGTCTATTTTAGTAGGGGAACCCTCCCCAAAAAAAGAAACTAAAGTTGGCACTAGGGGGGGACCTAGGAAAGACGCTCGGACCAACACCCACCATCTCAAAGACACCACGCGGCGCCTTCCTGAGAGTTCCGCCAAACTGCCAGCGCGCCCGATTGCATCCCCCCGTGCAGCCTCGCCTATTGATAGGTGAGGCTGCACGGGGGAATGCAATCGGGCAAGGAGAAGTTCACTGGCAGTTTGACAGCCTATTGTGGTTCGTGTTGACGGTCAAGAGCACAACTCAACGGCCTGGCCGAGAAATCTACACTAGGAAGAAAGAAGATGGCACGCTACGGGATATATAGATGGCACCGTTCTTGCGTCAAACACGGCCGACCGAATTCTACAGCAACATGCTGCCAGTATACGCATGGCTTAGGGCATCGAAAACGAACAAGACAACTTATGAACTTATAAACTGAATTATCCACCAACCAACTGATGCTTCCAAGTATATGGGACAGTTGTTGAGCCTGTGTGGACCTAGCTGCCAGAGCCGCATGGACCCATTCTGGCCTTGGGGGGCGTCCACCTTAGCAACCATAGAATAGCTCCAAGGATTTCCCTTTCCTTTGGGTCCACCTAAGGGTGGCTGTCAGGGACGAGGGATAGCTTCAGCGCGGCCTTTTGTGAGTTTGGGCCGCAGGGATTAAAGTTTTACTTTGCTGGGGTCTTTGATCAGGGCAACCTTTGGTTGGTAGCTACCTGGTTTGAGTTGTGGGATGTGGGACGGGGAGAGGGAATGATGGTCGAGGCCTGCTGAGAGTTAGCATGGAGTTAGCATCAGCTAGTATAGTGTTGCAGTGTCTCCTCCTGGGACTTGTGTCAGCTTCCATGCTAGCGCTCAGTGAACCCGTATTTTCTCGAAAAAGTCACCTCTGCCAACATGTGTTCAAAACCCCATCAAAACAAAGGGGCCCACAAGAAACCTAAGGGTTGGCAACCATTCAACTCCAAAATCAATCCGAAGCTCCTTCATCCAAGAAACCCGCAGCGTTGCCAACCACTTCGCTGTTGACCCCTCAAAAAGTGTGGCTTTTTCTGGGTCCCATGGAAAAAAAACTGTGCCCCAAAAGCTCAAAGTCCGAAGGTCCAAGCCAGAAAGACCTCTGAGCTCACTCCACGCCATCTGATAACGAGGCACGCTTGGCCGCCAGCTGAGCTGAGCCGAAGCGCAGGAAGCTGGGCATCACGCGGGCGGTGACCCCGGGCTTCTTCAACGACACCTCCGAAAAAGTTGGCGCCCCTGCTGGTTTCTTGGCCTGGGAGTTTCTGAGTCTAAGGTGAAATTATGGTGGGCTTAAACCATGTAAGCACCAACACCAGCAAATAAGAACCCTGGGACGTTGAGCCACCTGCATGAGGGCAGGGGTGCGTGTGTGGGTGCGTGCGTGGGTGTGTGTGTGTGTGGGTGTGTCCGCGCGGGTGTGCAAGTGGTCTGTGCTTGTGTTGGTGCTTGTGTTTGTAAGGGTGTTTGTGTCGGTGAAACATGTGTGTGTAAGTGTGTGTGGTGTGTGCGCGCGCGTATGTGTGTGTGTGTGTGCGCGGGTGTGTGGGAGAGTGTGTGTGTGTGTGTGTGCGTGGGTGGGTGTGTGTGTGTGTGTGTGTGTGTGTGTGGGGGTGTGGGTGTGTGTGTGTGTGTGCGTGTGCGTGTGCGTGTGCGTGTGCGTGTGCGTGTGCGTGTGCGTGTGCGTGTGCGTGTGCGTGTGCGTGTGCGTGTGCGTGTGCGTGTGCGTGTGTGCGTGTGTGTGCGTGTGCGTGTGCGTGTGCGTGTGCGTGTGCGTGTGCGTGTGCGTGTGCGTGTGCGTGTGCGTGTGCGTGTGCGTGTGCGTGTGCGTGTGCGTGTGCGTGTGCGTGTGCGTGGGCGCGTGCGTGTGCGTGTGCGTGTGCGTGTGCGTGTGCGTGTGCGTGTGCGTGTGCGTGTGCGTGTGCGTGTGCGTGGGTGGGTGGGTGGGTGTGTGTGTGTGTGTGTCTGTGCTGTGTGTGTGTGTGCGTGATGGCAGACGAAACTGCGTTCATCCCAGCAGCAGGGGGGCAACGGACACTCTGGGTCGCGTTGCCCAACGAAGACCGTCCAGAGTTGTCGTGAAGCAACACGGGACGCCGTGCTGTGTACCTGCAACATTTGCGTGATTCTGAAAGTCTATTTGGCCCTTGGTTGCGGCGCTGTTTGTGCTTCTTGTTCTTTCGGGTAACGTTTTCGCCTCTAGAGGGAAGCCGAGTGCTTCGCGAGTCGAAACTCATCCTACTCGAGACTTGTCAGTTGTACTCGAGACTCATCAGTTGTACTCGAAAGATTAGCACTCTCCATCTGGAGTTCAAGTGTGTACACCCCATTCGTGGGGAATCCTCGGGTGTACCCATTGTGTGACCCCGGGCCGGCTCTGTCGGAAAATTTGACCTCAACGTGCTTATCATAGAACAGCGGAATTTCACATTTAACCAGGAACGAGGTTTCACTAAAGGGAAGAAAGCCGTCAGATCATAGCGACGTCTCACCGGTCTACTGCTGGCTGCTGGCTTGAACTTGCATGGACTTGCATTTATCGGACTTGTTCCTCTCAAGAGTGTTGAGTTGCGGTGTTGCATTTGTTGTGCCATCATGTCTCGACGTGAAGATCGAGATAGATCTAGGACTCGGCGCAGACGTGATCGGAGTCCTTCCCCTCAAGCTCGCAAAGCACGCCGACGTGAACACAATGACAGCCAGGTCTCGGAGAACATGGATTGGAACAACCTGGTTTCATGGCAACACAACTCCGGCTACAACGCTGCCAACAACTTTCCGATGATACCTACCAACTTTCAATCGACTCACAATCCCACACAACAATTCCAACACCCTGCGATCAACTACATGATGCCGATCCCTCCAGACCCCACGCCAACCAAGTTCATGCCACCCGTGATGCCACCACCGGTCACTACTTCCCAACCTACACCGCCACCTGGACCTCCTGCGGCTCTACCGGTTCGTCCTCAGAAAGCCTGGCTTACACCCTCGCCTGACTGGACACCTGGAGATGGCATGTTTGATGTCAATCAGCTCTACAACTTCAGCCTGCCCATGACTGTTGCCAACACTCCGCATGGCAACCTTCGCGACATGTCAGGCATGGATATCAGGGACGTACGCCTGGTTCAGGTTATCCACGGGGGCCTCACCAACTGGCTACTCAGGCCGTTTGCACACGGCAGATTCGTGACGTGGGAAGGCTTTCGCACTCGCACCGAGGCCTTACTTTGGAGCACCTGTTCCAAACTACTACGAAGATCACAGTCACTCAACCTGCTCACCCTGGAAAAGGACCTTGCCAACACGCTGGGTCTCAACATCGATGACTTCAATCAGCGCATCAAGGTCCACGACCATTTGGCCAGCTTGGTACTTCAATTTCTTCAGCAACATCACACCTCTCTCGCACCTGCCACCCAGACAGATGACATGGTCAAAAAGTACAATGATCTAAATCGTGCGCACGAACTTCTCCAAGCTCAGTTTTCCGCATCGCTTCGCGCTTCGACCTCTCCCACGATGACAAACCAGAAGGATGATGCAGAGTTGGTTACACCGCCACCGGTCAACCACACACCATCATCGTCACCTGCCAGCTCCCTTCCTACAGCCAGCGCAGCCGCCCTGGATGGCAAGTCGTTTGATAGCGTGGTGCAACCTCGGATCATTCAGTCTCTTCACGGAGTGTCGTCACCGCCGTCCAAACCGGTGGCGTCACAATTGCTCACTATGCACAGCACGCCGGATGAAGTCGTCAAGTACTACACATGGACCAGTGACCAACCTCGCCTTTATCTCAAGCAATCACCCACAACCACCACTTTGGCATCGCTGGTTAAGTGGGCCAATCACCCGTCCCGGCTCAACGGCAACAAGTCATTGGATTCTATGGCGACGCAGCTCCTTCAGGCGCGACAACGCATGCCGAAAGGTGACGCACCCACTCTCGGGGCGATGGCGGCTTCGTGGGGACTAGAGCCCGGCTATCTTACCAAACTCACTGAGAAGGCATTGAGTCACCTCATCGTGACCGCTCGCCTACTCTGTGGATGAGAAGGCATCATGATGACCTTCGTTCTCTTATGAGCCCGGAGCGGCACCAATGTCACGGATGAGTCCAGGTGAAAACTCGTCCGTCAATTTTCTGAGTTGCACCAGTTTGATCTTGTACTTGCTCGTTCTTGCATTGCCTTTTGTGTGATTGTCTGTGATACTTGTATTCATGTCGCCGCCTTGTGGTAGATTTCATTGGTTGTGTCTCACCATGTTGGATGAACTTCGCCGCTGTGGAATCTATGATGATGTTGCACAATGGCAGTCGCTGGACGACCTTCTACACTCGTTGACCATGTTCTCTACGTGCTGGCAGTACTGTTTTCCTGGACTACCACCACCGTCGATTCCAACTGAGGAGTACGAATCAATCACACAATTGCCGTGGCTGGGTCTCATCCTCGAAGTCTTAGTTGTGGTCCGGATAGCCCTTCAGATTCCGAATCACGCTATGTCACACTCTCAGCACACCGTGGCCAACAGGTATGAGCTTCACAGATGTCGGTGCACTGCCTATTTATTGATTAGTTTCTTACAACGTCTCATTTCACAAGATCACGGCTACTTCCCGCCGTTCTTTGAAGTCCTTCACTTCTACAAGACTTCTCTCTTGTGTGAAATCATGCACTCTACTTTTGCTGACACGCGACATCTACGCTCATTGCGGGCGCGATTTCCTGACCTCTATGACTTCATACACGATCCAGGTCATCATCAACAACCGTGCGTCTACATTCGACTTTCCCCATGGCACACACCCTACTATGTTGGGGCGACTGATCAGGATGTTCTACGTCGTGAACACTCACGCAGTCGCAAATTTCTACAACTACTTCGTGGACGGCATGCCTTCTTCGAACCAGCGCTTCACTACTGGAAGAGATCCAATACTTACTGGCTCTTCTGTGCTGTTCCGGTGGAAATCAAACTTCCTGTTTCCTCGGTGTGGGTTCAAGAAAGCAAATGGCAATACCTGCTACGCCCGCATTTGAATGCGCCCTGGGTACACAGAATCTTGCGCAAGGTGGGCTTCCGGGAACATCTCGTGGATTTTCGACGTCACTCGTTGTCTTCTCCCACTTCCCTCGGCTTGCACAAGCGCTTTCGACGACGACTATATCCGGATCTCCAACGGCAACTACGACCTGACATCCTGGATGACATTCAAGCCCATTACTCTATTCTCTATATCAGCTGGGATCGAATACAGGAGCATCGTTCCAAGTCATGCGTGACCTGCTGTCGGCGGCTTTCCCTCCCACTCAGCTGTACTACTTATTGCGGCTCGCAGTCTTTGTCAACGAGCCCTTCCGCTCCAAGGCGCAGAAACTCCTCGCCCAGGTGCTGCGCAAACGACGGCTACAACCACCCACCACTTTGACACAGCTACTCTTACCGCCGCTACATGTCCGGAATTGGAAAGCTCTACTTGGCACATGGCTACAAAGCTGGATTGCTTCTCATCGGGATCTGTTCCCTTCTCTTTTCATTCCAAAGATCCGGGTGGTGGAAACTCGCAGCGCCACATTGGGCGACAAGATATACAACTACCGCACATGGCAGCGCAGATGGACTCCTGAAACATCCTTTCCGTGTCGCTGTTTGGACATCGATGATCACCATTTACACCGTGCACATGGTCACGCTGTAATGGTGGATGAGTTTTCTCGCATCAATGCGGACATTGACATTGAAATCATGGCCGCCTCAATGAAGGATCAGTATTTCGGTGATGTCGACTTATTGCATCAACGTTTCACCACGCAACTTCGCAAACTTGCTCGCCGTTGGCATGTCCATGGTTCCAGTCTCCTTTCAGATCTGCAGCCGGTTTTGACTCAGTTAATGGACACTCATCGGACTAACCTCCAAGATCGGGCTTATTGGTCATCGACATCGTTGCAGCGCACTGTGGCTTCTTTGTCTTCGTGGGTTGTTATTCCAGCGGATCATTTTCCCTCCCGCGCACATGTGATTTGTCCATCCCTGTTTGCCATACTGATGCGGAAGACATTCTGCTCGGGGGATGTCTTCTCGCTTTGCCGTGAATCCGCAGCATCCTTTCGCTCTGAAGTGGTAACCACGGTACCTTCTCTCCTGCGTCAACGATATGCATGGGGACTTCGACTTCAAGCACCCTTGCCCACAGCGCGCATCCTC